TGCGTCACGCCCATGTTGCCAATATGCTCAAAATGAGATTTATAACGTTCCCAAGCAAACAAAATACGTCATAAGATCACAAAAGACATGAATCACTAAACAATCGTTAGCGTATAAAATGCGGCTCGAAATAGTGTAAAATATATCTTTTTCAGACTACAGGAGCAAGATGCGTGGAGCAAGGCTGAATAACAAAGCGGATTAACGAAACAATCAATTTAGCATATTTTTGATCGCGAATAAACATATGAAAATGTTGTCATATCTTATACGTTATATATTTTGCAAATTGCTCATTATGGAAAAGACCGGAACCTAGTCATAGTTGTTTACTATATAAAAACTTGATTGGCAATTGATGCCTACACACCTATTTGTATGTCACAGCACACGTGCCTGAAGCTGACACGCGTTGCAGACCATGCATATCAGTCGCGCGCGCCTACCACAGTTTTTCATAGAAATTGATTGATTGCTGCGTGCGTGCATAAAGGCAGGACATTTTTTCACGTACTATAACGTTTGCATTTTCAAAAGTCATCGTGTTCATTTTATCTACACAGGAAATATGATTGTATCTTTATAAATAATAGTAATATGTTGGACTTTCATTCCACCACTGAACTAAAACTATTCGTGAAAAGAGCAATATCATCCAAGCTCTCATCTGAGAGTAGGTAAGTTAAAACTGGAAAAAATCCTTTTATTGCATTTTATCTGCTTCAGATACAAAAGAAAACACATTCTTAGGAATCATCTATCCACAAGAGGATCCGAGATTTGGTTGCGATCTGTAAATTGAACTTTGACTTGTGATACTCTATAGTCTTTAGAGAAAGTAAGAAAATTCTACTCAATCTCGTGAAGCTCTCCTTGTTCGCTATCCAGAAACGAGCAATACAGAGGTCCACAACCGGACGAGCTGCAAATGATTTTGATTTGATTGTCCAATTCTACATTATAAATATATGAACCTTTGCGCAGAAACAAAACTGTCTGACTGTTCGTCGCTACCTAAGCCGTTTTCTGTCCTAAAAAGGCAAAACTTTCAACTTTCACTTTTCAGGGGGTATAAGCTCACATAAATCGCGATGTGTGGGTGTCTGCTGTCCTCTCCCAAGCCGTATGAAGAACAAATGGTTCTTCTCTGAAATGACCGCATTTTAGTAGGCGAAGGATATCCCCGTAAGAGAGGAAAAGTTCACTAACATAGCGGTTCGCAGATCGTCAATCTCTATAAGAGGTGATCTCGGAGCAATGCGAGTTTCAAGCTTATGAGAGTTAGTTACAGCAGGATCTGATATGGCTGTTGACAAATTATTTCCATCTGATAGCACAGAATTCACAGATTCAACCAGAAGTCCATCGACAGATGCTCTACTGGGTGCTTCATTGTCAGAGTCCACCTCTGCAGTGCTGATTGCATCTGTGCAAATATCGGCGGTGTTAACCTCCATAGAGCTGAAGCTCGTGGTCAAAGATAGACTACTTGGCGGATCAACACAGGGAGAGAGTCGCATTCCTGTAGATAGTGAAAGTGAGCTATCACTGCTAGAATTGTCTACATTATGCATCCACCATCCGTAACTTGCTGTATATACCGAGGAGGAGGATTCCGATTGTGAGTCGCCCGAAGTAAGGTTGCTGAAGCTAACGGTGACTGCAGTGGGATAAAGAATAGACGACTCGTCAGCTGTCATAACACTTCCACTTGAAACAGCGCTCATTTCGTCAATCATCGCATCTTCCTCCGAAGATCTCGACTGCGGCTCTGCCGACCTGTTCAAGCCGTTTTCAATTTCTTGTGCAGATATCATCCTATTTTGAAAATGTGGTTCTTGAACATGATTTGAGCGACATTCCCCAAAGCTGTTGCCCTCACTACTTCTGCTTCCCGTCCTAGATTTTGTAGAACGAGCCGAAACAGGGGATTTACATCTAAATTTTACTTATAAGAAAAAAATTGACTATATCAGGATTTCCTGCTTACCCCATTGCTCTATACTTGATGTTCAGCTCATGTGCTGATTTCATTGCGGCCACTTTTGATGGCCGGATGCACAACTCAGCGGCACCTTGAATCTCTTTCCCTGATTCGCATGGCTTTGTTTCCACTTCGCAATCTTCTGATGACATTTTCGCAATTTCATCCTTTGGTGTTGCTGTCGGATTTGTACTGAATTTGGGAAATTAAAGACGGGAGAATTGTACCTAAAAATGGG